GTAACGGGTTGCAAATAGAATTTCAAAAAAAAAAAAGTGATATACCATCATGACACTTGAAACTTAAGAATTATTCAATAAACAGCGCATTTCGCCTACCTTCATCGAAAGATGTGTATTGGCATTCAAACTTCTCGATGGCAATCTCTGTTTCTTCTTGGCCTCCGCCGCTGCTACCATTAAACGGATCGATGTTTAAATTAAAGGCAATCGGTGGTCGGCTCGGCGTAGACTCCTCGGAATTTACAAGGTTTGCACGAGAAGGGCCAAGATTCTTCTCATGCTGCTGCGCAATTGCGTTATCTCTTCGGGCGAAATGTGAATGGACAATTGCAGAATCATTTTCTGACCCCGAATTTGATTGCTAAAAGGTGAAATAATTCCGACGTGGTCGTCCACCGCAAGGTTATTAGCGGTAAAATCCATATTTAATGAACAGTGCCTAACGCTTACCAGTTGATCTGACGCCTCTAGTAACAAGTGTAGGGGATTCATTTGTGCCTTCGAGTTTCCTTCGACGTTGTTATTGGATGACTGAATTTGAAGAAGAATGAAACAATCAAAAAAAAAAAAAAAAACATACGATGATCGCATCTACAGTGGTTAAAGGTCATTTACCAGATAGATGTCGTGCCGCGCGTTTGAAACACATCTTTGACAATACCAAGGGCTACCTCTTTCTTGAATTCCGTTATTAATTAAACATGCTTCATTGCACGGAATAAACATTCGAAACGTTAATTAATAAATACTTTTTATCAATTTGTCACTAAATGCGGAAAATACGGACGTACCTGCGTGAGCGTAAACATCGCAGGTGGGCGACGCACAAGAGATCAAATCGTGCGGATTTATTGCCGAACGACAAATGCAACAGAAACATCCGATTTGCCTTTGATTCTTTAGCATATGTAAATAATAAAAAAGATGAATCAATGTGTCAGACACCCCAAGATGATACAAAAAAGAATCCCTCTTTCCAAGAGTTGTATAGCAGATCGCATCGATCAATGCAAGTATGCACGAAATCAAATCAAGAAATTTCAAATATGGCATCATTCCGATCAGGAAATCGATCGTATGGAATCACAAAGAAACAAGTTGACAGCTCCTTGACAATTGTGCACAAGCCAATAAACCATGTATAGAAATGTTCGTATAGCATCTACGGGAAAATTATTTAATTTCCGGTGTAACATGACTCACCCAGAAATTTGTCGGCGGATCACCATAAATAGTTGTCACGGTCTCTCTAGAATAGACTTGACCAACTACTCTCGTATACGATTGTTCGACATTGTTGAATGACAACATCGTCGTATTCGCCGAGTACATGGAAGGTGACCTATTATGGTTTGTATGACGAGAGAGAGCTTCGATATCATTATTCTTGCCGTCTTCTACCCCATTTGTGGCGTGAAGTTGAGCGACTTATAGAAGTGTATCACAAAAGGTAATAATGAAAAATATAAAGTTTTGAAAGTTAAGATCATAAAATACATGAACAAGCGTGCCGATGCTTTTTTTTTTGTAATTAAATACCTGCTGAGTTTTCAGAAGGCTCTATGGAAAACATACTATAGGTATGACACTCCTGCGGATCTTGAATGGTGTGCTGTGTGCAAGTTAATAAGTTTATATGCGTTCAGTAATTTTGGAAATTATGCTTAACGCGTTTAAAGGAGGAATAAATATTTTTTAGCAAAGTGAGAGAGAAGGGTGAGGCTCCACTCAAGTTGTCCTTTTAGTGAAAGGGAAATGGAAAAATCAGCGGGAAGTTAAAAAGAAAAGAAAAGAAAAAAAAAAAAAAAAAAAAAAAGGAAAAGAAAAAAAAACTAAAGTTTGATCAGTAAAGCATAGCTTTATATCAAGTTACCAAACAATGGCAGCCGCACATGCAATCAAGTCCGAAAAAAGTGTGATGATTGATTAATGTATTATTATTTTTGGGGGGGGGGGGAATAAGAGCTTAGGGGTGAAGAAAGAGAGAGCTTGCTGGGAGAGATGGATGCTTTATTGAGTTATAATCATCAACATTCAAACAGATAGGTTGACTGATATAAAAATATGCTACGGCAATATTCTGAAAATAAAGCGGACCTTTGATCCCTCGAGTGAAGAAAGTACTAGCATGTCATATAACAGCGAATTAACTTACCATATTTACATGTACATATATACAACCCAAAACATCAAAGTAAGGTATTGAAATGAAAAAAAAAAAAAAAAAAAAAGGTTCATGTTTTTTCTTGAGTCGTTTTGCATACCCATCGGAGATTCAATACAACTCGATAGAATTTTTGCTATTTTTCACCATTTTTATACGTCAGCGCATGATCCATCCATTACTATTCCTTAACATATAGGAGTCTAGAGTATTTCTATTGATGTAATTTTATAATGTTGTCGAATACTTTAGGGGTAGCCTTAATTACACTTCGGCCACCGAGGGGAGGCATTGATGCATTGAAATGAAGTCCATTTTTGTAAATCCTCTCAATGCTCTTTTTTTTTCTTCTGTTGCTGCAACACCAAAGGTGTTTCGCACTCGCGTTCATAGAACCTTTGGAATTTACATACTTAACAAGGTGGATTGATGCAAATTAGCACTTGTTGTTGACCAATCACATGTTAAGTTAATGCAGTCTATACGTACGAGTGTATAGACCAGAATTTTCCTTAATTCTTATGAACCTTTATCTTTTCGGTTTATTAAAAAGCATGCCTGCATTGTATTTTTTCTTCGCTTAGTATGCCAATGAAAATCATTCATTGGGACAACAATGTCAAATCCCCATTATTTCCGTGCTTTTGTTATTATTAACAGAAAGAATGTCCTCGTCCTCCACGTTATTATTTCAATATACAAATACCATGCATCACTCAGAAAATCAAGGAATGGAAATTTCCTGAAAGAATTTTTGTCACATTTCTCACGTGTTTACGACTACTTTCGAAAAAGTATCCTGTGTAATATGCTGCATTCGTTATTCTATAATTTGGAATTTTTTTTTTGATTTACTCTCTGTTATAAGTAAGATTAAGGTTTAATTTTGTACATGTTGTATGACTCTGCACATGTACTTCTAATTCTCACAAATAAAATATTGTAATATTATAAATTAATACAAAAAATTTTGTTAATTAAATTTTATTATTTTATTAGATACAAAAAAAAAAAACCTTTCTATAATAGGCTCTCTATAAATGACTCAATGTGGTTTTGTTCCCTAAATAAATTCTTATAATTGATTAATAAAAAAATTTCAAGAATATACATTAGTTTAAATTAAATATATTAAATAAAATATTAAAAAAATGACAATAATAATTTGTTAAATGGTAAATATTTTTATTAAAAAATATTAATAATTAAAAAAATTAAAATTAAAATACGAATAAAATTTATAAAAATGATTTTTTTAAAATCTAAAATTTTATTATTAATAAATCTTTTATTTTTTTTTAGTATTTATTTTATTTAATAAAAATTAAGTTATAAAACTTTTTTTTTTTTTATAATAAAAATAAATTATATTTTTATTATAAATTTTAACTTTATTATTTTTTAAATTCTTAATTATATAATTAAAAATTATAAAATTCATATATATCATATTTTAATATTAACTTTATTTCTTATATTTTTTTAAAAAAATTTTTTATGTATAATTTTTAAAGTTTTAAAAAATTCTTTTCACTAATCTTCTAACCACATACAAAAAGATGTTTACAAAAAGTTTTTATACTTTATTACTAATAAAGTCTTAATATTTTTTTAAAACAACTTGAAATATATAGTAACTTCCAGAGTCACATCTATTCTTTTCTTTTTGTTCACAAATCTTTTTATTCAAAAACTTGACTTCTAATGATCAAGAAAAATCAAGTAACATCTTTAATATCAATGACAAGAAACTTTCCAAAAGAAGAAAAACTGATTATAAAGTACCTAAAAGTTTATCTAATCTTTAAAATGAGAGATTTATAAAAGTTTTCTATAGTAAAAAGGCTTATTTTGATTGTCCTGATCCTCTTAGAACTTTTACTTTCATGATTTTTTAAAGAATTTTGCTTACTTTAAATTTTGTATAATATAAATTCTTATCAAAAATGATGGACTAACATAAAATATATTGGTTTTTAAAATATAAACAAACTTCTATTGATTATATTTAAATGTTTTGATGACATCATTGGTAATTAAAAAGAATGTTCTGAAAACATTTGTTCTAAAAGTTTAAGTTTCTTAATAAAGACTTCTATAATACCAAAAGATCAAATGATAGGTAATATGAATTGCAAATTTCTATCTTTTATTTAAGTTTCTCAAGTAATAAAAAAGCTTTAATGAAAAAAAGTTGTGATTTAAATACTTTTCTTGAAATATCCTAATCTATTACTTATTTAAATAAAAAATCAGTTGGATTGACTTGTTCAATACTATAAGTGATAAAAAAAAAAGATTTCTTTCAAGGTTCAAATGAGATAAGAAGACTATTCCAATCAAATAAATTTCTTTTGCGAAAAGATTGGTTTTATTTTAAGACTTTTTTAATGGATCTTGAATTGTTTTATTCTTCCAATTATTTTTTCTTTTTTTTTTTATATAAATAATATAATAATTAATAAAAATTTTTTTAAAAAATATAAAAATTGTTGTTCTCAACCATAGTATTAACTAGATTATCCATGACTTAACTTTAAAGATTAGATAAATTCCAATACTTTTTATTTTATATAGCTATAATTAAAAAATTTAAGAAATAAAACAAATATTAAGATATAATAAATATAAAAAAATTTTTTTTTTTTTTACTCTCTATTAGCACTAATCGAAATTATGTTATTCAGCTACCGAATTATTGCTGAATTTGGCAAAAATTAATAATAAAAATATTGACGAATTATTTATGATTGTTGTCACTCGGCATTAAAAATATCGACAAAAAATCAGCAAAAAAATATCAGCATTCTGCAAAAAAAAAATTCAGTACAAAATCTAGCAATATTGTGACAAAAAAAAATTTTGCGATAAAAAATTCGACAAAAAAATTGATACTGCAGCAAAAAA